GGTGTCTCTCTGAGAGACCAAATCCCAAACGAGAAATACGTCGTAGAACAAAAACAACAGACGCTATCGAAAAAATCGCGTCGTTTAAATGGAATTGGGCAGGACACGTCGCCAGATTATCGGTAAACCGATGGACAAAACGTATTTTAGAGTCTAGACCAAGACAAGAAACAATACGGAGTAGAGGACGCCACCATCTAGATGGACTGACGACTTGAAGCATGTTAGCAATAACTGGCTGCAAGCCGAACAAGAGAGGGACAGATATAAAGAGCTTAGGGAGACCTATGTCCAGCAGTGGACGCATAAAGGTTGATGATGATTATAATAATGATGATGTTGGTTAGTTTTAGGTTAAATTCAAGATGTTTTGACAATTGGTACTATTTTGCCTAAGTTCATTAGTAGTTAGGGTTTTTTTTTTGTAAAATTGGTTGGTTTCTTTCTAATTTTGTATTGATTACTAAAGTTAGTTGCTTTTTATCTTAGAGTTAATATATCAAATTATTACATCGGTTAATTAGCTTCGGCGAAAGATGAAATCAATCTGGTATCTTAAAGTTTCCTTCTGTATGTTAGCGGACATCCATGTGTATACTCTTCTGCATGGCTGATTATACCAAATACTCGTGATTATAAATATCTCTTCCTGTTAATACTGTACGTATAATTTATTTTTCTCTGTCGTTACGTGTACCTATATAGTACTATCTGGGGATACCTTCAGTTTTCTTCCTTGCCCAATCTTTTCTAATCTTCCATAATTAGAGGGATTTAGTATTTTTTGTTCTTTTCAATTATACATTGTAGAAAATTATACAAACAATTAATATTCTAATATCATTTAAACAACTATCAGCAACAGGGTTATCAACAGTCATCAGGTTTTTGCCTTTATCTATATACGGAGACGGCTTTCTTAATTTCATTTCTTTAATTGTACATGTCGGATCATACCAATATCAACCACCATTACCGACATGTTCTTCGTAAGCATCTCCCCAAGTCTTCTTTGGTCTTTCTCTCTTACTCCTTCAAGGAACCCGCATATCAACAATTCTTTATATTGGGTGAATAATTCTTCGACGTTGAACTTGATTAAACCATCTTAACCCATGTGCTCTTATTTTAGCATCAATTGTAACACCCCTAGACTTTATGCATCCCCATTGATTTTTCCATTACTGTGTAATACCGGTCCTGGGTACTTAACAGTTATTATTTTATTTGCAGTAACTCCATTTTTAAATGAAAATTTCAAATACCCTGTTTTATCCTACTTTTTTACCAAGTTTTAATCATTTTTTCCTTTAGAACTTTTCTTTACTGTTCCAGTTTTTGTTCAAAATCGCTTTCACTATTTCCTACATACACTAATTTGCCAGCATAAATTAAGAACCAGGAAATAATACTTTGTAGTTTCCCTGTTATTTGGTATAATTCTAATGAAAATAAATAAGGAGTAAGTACAGAGCTTTGGTGCAATCCTACTTTGGCATATAATTTATCAGTTTCTCCCACAGCTATCCTAATACTAGTTGTTACTCCCTGATGCATGTCTCTTATAATTTTACATATGCAAAGGGGACTCCTTTCTTATCTAGTACCTACCACAGAATCTTTCAAAGAACTCTATCATTCGCTTTCTCAAGATCAATGCATACCATACCATCATTTGTTTTTTTTTATTCCTTTATTTTCATATCAGCTGTCTTATCCTAATACTAGTTGTTACTCCCTGATGCATGTCTCTTAAAATTTTACATATGCAAAGGGGACTCCTTTATTATCTAGTACCTACCACAGATTCTTTCAAAGAACTCTATCATTCGCTTTCTCAAGATCAATGCATACCATACCATCATTTGTTTTTTTTATTCCTTTATTTTCATATTAACTGTCTTATAATGAAAATGCATCCGTTGTCGATATGCCTTGCATAAAGCCAAACTGATGATCGGATATTTAGTTTTCTTGTTTTTGTATATAAGCACTAATATACGATTTCTTCATTCATCTGTCACTTGTCTTGCAGCCATAATTCTATTCAGTAAAAAGTGATCTGTTCTTGGGTATTAATAAAATATTAATATGTTGATCCACCTTGGTATCAACACATTCTTAGGTGCCTCTGCCAGCTTGAAGTCATACCCGATAACATCTTTACATAATATCTAAATTCTCTTCACAATTTCCCGAAAAGAAAGTAAGCTTCTCTTAAGTCAACTATCTGCACCACATCAAACTCGCTCAGTTGATGGAAAGTTGCGCGTGCTTGAACTTTATTCATTATAAACGACTTTCGAAAAAGAAAAAAAAAATAAGAACCGCACACTTCTAAATTTTGAGAGTTATTCAAAGGTAGTGGTTAGCAAATTTAGGCAAAATAATGAGTAAAAAATAGAACAATACACTTATTTGGCTGAAACTCTAGTAGATTTATAAAAATAAAAGAGGTTATAATGGGTATAAAATTTTTATGTCACTAGTATATTTAAATTTATTATTATCAATGATATACAAATATGTCATTGCTAACCTTTCGCTACCAAAGGGTGAAGTTGTTTTGTAGTTGACGGAAGGGGTACATTATGTACCACATGCATTTTTATAGATTAAATATTAACATAATGCAATAATTTTAGTTAAAACATAATTAAAACAAATGCAAGTATTTTTTATTGAATAAGTAACAATAAAAAAATATATGGTGTCTTGAAAAAATTAATTATCGTTTTTTTGATTAGCTTTACATTTTGTACATATTATTGTTTGAATTGTTGTGGTTGTTTGATGTTCAGCACAAACAAAGAATTTACAAGAATTGCACGTTTTTCTGCTTTTGCGGTCCTTCTTGCGTGGACAAAGTAAACATCGCCCTGAGGATTTTAAGATGGTGGCGTCGTTTTCGCGATTCTCCTTGGTGGCGGTGGGCATAATTCGTACATCGCGTTTATAATTCGCTTATGGAATTTTTGTGGACTTTGTAGTCGCCTATCGACATGGGGCTTTATAAGTTCTTGACCCAGGTTTAGTAAAAATTCTCTGCGTCTGTGAGAAGCTTCATACGCACGAATGGAATTCTTTGTCGTCCACAGTACGTATGCATTCAGACCTGCAATGTCTAGAAGATTTTGAAACAAAACAAATGGCCATCTCTTAGAGGCTCTTTTACAAGAATATTCATTTACCATCTTATCCATAGTATCTACGGCACCTTTTGTAGAATTGTAATGCAAGATTATGTCTGGCTTATAGTCCGTCTCTTCTCCGCTAATTTTATCGTCGTTATGTTCTGTACTCAATAAAATTACTGCCTTATTCTTTTTAGGAACGTAAGACGCCAGTGTTATTTCCTCAGTGAAGGCAAAAACTGAGGACTTTTCTTGTCTAGAAATATTGGGTAGTAGGGCTGGAGGGATATCCTGCTTGTTTTTTCGAAGTGTTCCACATAATGTTATTTGTCGATCTAGGAGTTGTTTTGCCAAGGAACACTGGTAAAGAAATTATCAGTAGTGATGCCATAACCAGTTTTTAGAAATGAGACCAAATCAAGTACTACTCTTTTGCCCTGGTCTTTTTCTGGTTTGTTACCATCTTTTCCAGTATAAATCTGAAGGTTAGCAGCATAGGTGATTGTTGCATCAACTAGAGCCCATATTTTGATGCCATACTTGGCTGGTTTTGATTTCATGTAGACTCTAAATGGACACTTACCTCTAAAACTTACAAGTTGTTCATCAACAGTTAGATGAGAGTGGCACTTAAAACTTTCTTTACAGTGTTCTACAAACTTTGTAAACACTTCCCTAAAAGCTGCTAGTTTGTCAGAACTTCTACGTTCTTCTCTAGTGTTCAAATCATCGAATCGCATAAGTGAAATTAAATCTAGAAATCGGTCGCGTGACATGGCAGCCGGAAAAATAGATCGACTGTACAAAGGGTTTCGACACCACAAAAAGTGCACTGGTTCCCTATTGGCTTTTAGCGCACCCGCCGTAATCAAGAGTCCCAAGACCGCATAAATTTCCACTGAATCAGTGGGCAACCAGGTTCTTGTTTTATTAGGATTTTTCCCATTCCAATCCTGAAAGTATTTCTCCGCTTTCTGGTTTGTACATTTGACGATGATCTCTACAATTTTCTCATCTACAAATAATTTGAAGCAATCACTAATTTTAGCGACATTTTTAGATTTTTCTGTAAGCCCTGGTTTTTCGAGCAAGTTTTTTGTGCGACATCTAGTTTGTCGTAAAGGACGATTTTTCCAAACTGTACCATTCTTGGAAATAAATGTGGAATCTACTGCCCCAAAACTGGTTTATCAGAATCATTACTGTCGCTCTCAGATGGCTAAAATATAATAAACTCAAGATAGAAATATCGTACATAAAACAAAAATAAAAATTACCTGCAGAATTTCAGGCTCATATTCCGCTACTTCTAAATTATCATCTAATTCTGAATCATCCGATAAACTATCTCTTTCAGAAAGGTAATCATCATCACTTTCCTCTAACCACTGCACTGCAGTTTCACGATCCTGTTCTTTCCGAAGGTCTAACTTTATTTTTTTCGACATATCGGTAAATCGTGTAATCACAAATGGATAAACTAAAACGGTATGTTAGCACTAAGTCATCCACAGAACTGATTTGTGTGTTATTGCAAACAACAGGTTTGGTGCCGTGCGCAAAACGTCTGGTTTGTCAGTGGCGTCGACCGCAATGAATTGTACCGCGGTTGACGGAGGGGGTACAACTTGTACCCCAAGCACAGTGCTGCACTTTTCATAGGTAAAAATATGTCAAATTGAAAACAAATGGTTGGATATGCTTTTACACATCCCAATGAAGAAGTAACTAGAACATTTAAACAAAATTCCAACATTTTTAAAAATTATTCATGAAAAATCGAATTTGGGGTACAATCTGTACCCCCTCCGGTAGCGGAAGGTTAAAAGATTTTTTTGTCACCGAAATTATTATCCTATGTTTTAGAACCATGTACAACTCCTAAAGGCCAACCTGGAATGTGTGTTTATGTCCAACAATGTCCCTCAATTTTAGCAATAACCACAGATTTTGACACACCCATGACAATGGATACGATGGATTTTCTTATTGAGTCCCAATGTGGAAATACGGATTACATAGTAAAGTACTGCTGTTCTAATATAGAACTGGAATATCAGATTTAGAAAGTACGTATAAACTTATTTAATTAGTATGTATTTTTCTAGGTGTGTCATTTTAAAAAACTTTAAAATATGCTTCAAATATGTAAAAATTAAAAATTAAATTTTATATGTAAAAAAGAATAATAGAAGACTTTATAAGTCAAATTTACATTAACCAATAAATATTATTAGTTAGCCAATTATCATTTGACTAATATAATTAAATATGTGTATAAGACAGGAGAAACCGTATATACATATTTCTGACTATTGGTCGTCTTCAGTACGGTGCAGCTAAGTTAGAAAAGGAGCATGTTACCTTAAGAAATAATCACTACAGGAGCAATGCGACCAATTTGTGGTAATATTGTTAGAAGACTCTGACGTTTCCAGAGCAACAAGTAACACATCCACGGAGGAAGCTAAGCTACCTGAGGAAAGGAATCCGAAACGTTCAGAACGTTTCAAACTACAACAAAAAGGTTAATGCAAGTTAATAGTAAAATAAAGGTAGAAGGTATCAGCATAGCTTGCAACTTCAAAATTTGATGCAGCTGATGAAGCTAAACTAGCTTCAATAGCTGATAGAGCACCTTTGGACGAAACTCTATTACAACCAATGATACTTAAAATGACGGATAAGCCTAAAACACCACCTGTCTTTCCAGGAACAAAAATGCGGATCATCTAACTTTAAATGTTCTGTACTGATATTACGGTCTTTATCAACTAGTTGATCTAACAAATTATTAGAGATTGTATCTATAAGTGAAACTTCGATAGGATATTGTATTTTTTAATAAAAAAGAAGAAGATAAAACTCTTGGTTTCACCTACTATCGGCGTTTTTGAGCCTCCTATACCAGAGACTGTCAAATTTAATTTCGAATAGCTTAAGCCTAATTTTCGGGAACAATCAAACGTAAGCGGAGGAACCACTAATAAAAAATCGAAAGTATTGAACATTAACCTATCCATAAAGAACTTGTCCCAGAGAGACTAACATAACTTGATTTTGACTTATTTGGAGCATCTTTAGAATGACGGATATATTTAATCTGGAATGATTGTTAGAAGACTCCGAGGTAGGCTCAGTACTATTGGGGACAAAAGAAATCGTTATGCTGAGTAGTATTTGGTTGATGAAAAAGCGAATGGTGACGAGATTTACATTTAACACAAGAAAATTTGGACGGACAATTGGAAACTCGATGGTTTGAAGAAAAGTAATTTAAACATATTTTTTTCCTTTACTAATTTAAATCTTGATTCAAAAGATTGTCTGCTTTTCAAGTCATTTCAATTAAAAATAAATTAATAGAAAACAACATAGTGTTTACAAAAGCAAAGACACTACTATGGCTATAGATAAAATAGATTACAATAACAAAACAACAGCATTTTTAAATAATCAAAATAATGAAACGTTACACAGAAAGTATCAAAAACAAATTAAGCTAGCGTTAGAAAATTCAAAATCAATAGTAATCCAACAGAACAGAAATACCTCACTATCATGAACCACAGCTTCCTAAATTATACTCTTTTATTAAACTACACAAACCGGATCACACAATAATAGCTGTAGTTTCTTTTTACACAGCTCCGTCATATAAACTTAAAAAAAACTGTTAAAGATTACTTTAGAATACACTAAATTTCACATATAATTTCCCATAAAAAATACAATACAACTAGCTAATAAAATACAACATTTTCAATTACCTAACAACTCCAGAATAATTTCATTTGAAATAAAAAATCTTTTTACTAGTTTTCCTCCTACAGCAACTTTTATCCTAATAAAAAACCTTTTAGACCAAAATAGTAAAGATCCAATCATTACATCTGAAATTTTACATCTTCTTAAAATTTGCATAAACCAGGACTACTTTAAATTTAGTAATCAAATATATACTAATAACAGTGCAGGACTTATAATGGGCACTCCTCTAAGCTCATTGCTATCAGATATTTTTACGGATCATCTAGAGACAAAGATTTCAAAACATCCCATATTCCAACAGTTTTTATATTGGTGGAGATACGTAAAGGACGTACACAGGACGATGTTTCACAGGAACTAACAGGCAACTCGACTAATTTTTATCGTATATTAATTCACTTCATGATCATATTGAATATAAAAAAAACGGGTGTGGCAGTCCAGTGAGACTGAGAAAATTTGTATGGGAGTCAATCTGCACAATCATTACATATATAAAGCTATAGGTAAAAGAAAGCAGAAACAGAAAAAGAATTAGTTATATAAATATATGGTGCATCGTTTGCTGTATATAAACATTTTACCTGTAATAGGAGTACAGTAAATGAAGGATTGTATCAATATTTTAATCAAAATATATATTTTGATTTTTATACATGTATAAAAGGAGTTGAATGCAAAAAAAATTTTTTACACATACTCTGCAGTAACATTCATTGTTTATTTTGTTATTAATATAAAAATTACAATACAGTAAATACACTGCAACATAATTCAATATAATAATACAATATAAATTAAAATGTAATATTCATGAGTATTTAAAACTGCCAATATACATAACTTACTTTACGAAGATAAAAATAAAACACCAAGCAAAAAACACAAGAAAAACAGTAAGAGCACTATTGTTTATTTAATTTTGACCGATGGCTTTATCTGAATATGGGTGCAAGTTCTTTCGAGGATCTCTGGTTTAGTTGTTAAGTTTTAATGTTAAGTTATCGTAGAGCTTTTATAACATCTAAAAAAACCTACAAATTGTTTTTGTAAGAACGAACGCTTTTGGTTGTTTATTTATATTTTAAATCTTTTTATTTGTCGTGAACTGATGATGCTTTTAAAAATAAAAGCGAAACGTATTCGAATAAGTCAATGAAGTAGTTGACAACTTTCATTTGCCAATTATTGACCGATACAACCTCTGCTATTCAACTTCAACTATTGAATATATTTTAAATTTAATCAACGGTCGTATTTATTGCTCTATATCATATATATATATATATATATATATATATATATATATATATATATATATATATATATATATATATATATATATAATAATATTAAATATATATACAAAAGGAACATTTTTATTCTCGACAGAGGAAGAGACAGAAAATATATCTTCTGTCTCTCTCTTAATCATTATCTTACATATGTAATGTTTTCCCAGATTCACTCTCATGCAAATTTCCAACGCCGGCCGTGCGTATAGAAGTATAACTTCAATAGAAACAGAACAAAATCCATCCATAAATTTTTTAGATTTAAAAATAATCAGACTTCTCCACAACAAACATGACTTCTCCATATTTCCATCCCACACAACATAAACATGTATGTTACATAGATTAATAGAAATTCCGATGTCAAAATACAACTTTGAGACATAATTAAATATCAATGAGTAAACAGCAGTACACAATGGATACAACGAACAAACAATTAATAAAATTTTAAATCAACAAATACACAAGAAAGCCCTGAAATTAGTATTTCCACCACCAGAGGAAAAACCCAGTATCTTCTGCTCGATTACATATACAGGCGAAATAACAACAAAAATAGCCAAACAAATAAAAAAGAAAGGAATAACACCAGCTTTCAGAACAAATAACAACTTGGGCAAATATATTAAAAACAACAAGAGCCAAAATAAAAAACACTTACACAGTGCTGTATACAAACTTATATGTGACGGCTGCCCAAAAACTTACATGGGTCAAACTGGTAGAAATTTTAATAAACGAATAGCAGAACATAAAAGGACTTTCAATAATAGAAAAACAGATTCTTCATACGCACTTCACCTTCTAGATCATAGTCATTATTTTAATGACGAATTTAAAATTCTTCACGTTAAAAATAAATAAATCTCAAAAAAACTTAATTCTGAATAACCAACTTGAGACACACAGTTCTCCCCTCCTCGACCATTTCATTAAAGACTATAAAGTCAGGATAAACGCATGACAAAAATGGATAACTTAAGAATGGCAATCAGCCGAAACAGCTGTAGTGATAAGAGTTCATAATAAATTTTGTGGAAGTTTTGAAAATAAAGTTTTTAGTGTTATATTGTTGCATAAAATATATTTCCATCAAGTAACGGTCGAATCCATAAATTATTTAAAAGAGGAATTAAACAGGGGGACACTGTCTCTTTAAAATTATTTATTATTTATTTATTATTATGACCATGTATGAATTTTTCCAAAAATCAACTATTCCTCTATATTTTGTTTAAAAATTTATTTTTATATGTAAAATATATCAAATAAAACATATATAATAATAAAAAACAATAAAATATTAGAACAGATTACCCATTTATACCTTTTTATTATTTTGTTAAGCCCCTTTATCTTTGATTACTGCTTGTACACGTCTTGGCATACTTTGAATGCAGTTAAAGGCACTTAGCTTCAATTTGTCATTTTGGTTCCAATGATAAATTAGTTCGGTTTCAAACGAAACATTTTTGTTGGTGACTTTTTCATTGGAAATTTTTCGTTTTAGAAATAATTTTAAAGTAAATGTATGTATTAAATTCTCAAAGTCCAAACCAAAAATTTGTTAAAAAAATCACCTAATATACAAATATATTCTTTAAATTATGATAAGATGCTAATATGCTAAGATGATTAATAATATTTCCGTTTCAGGCCTAAATCCTAATTCGATGATATAGACCAGTGGGTAACAGATTGATCCGAAGCCTTTTATCCCTTCATTGAAGAAACCAATAAATCAAACACATTATAAGTAACACATATTTTAACCGATTTGGCAGCCAATAGGAAAGATAAATTTTTTTGTCCAGTTTGTCTTTAAGTTTGTAAAATGATTTAAGCCTATAAATTTTCTTCGCAAATGATGACCAAAGGAAATCAAATGTGTCAAGGTTTTTTATATAACAAAAATTTTTAACTGTCGGTCTGTTATGTTCTTTTAGATAGTCTATTTATATTAAATTTATAATTTTTTATTTTTTTTTTTCATTTTAACTAACATTCTTCAGTTTATACCGGGTATAGTACAAATTAAATGTGTATGTTACAATATAAAATTTAACTTTTTTTGTGGCATAGACTTTCGTCATACAGCCAGTCTCGAAAGGTTTTAATATATTCCTCAAGAAAGTATATACACATAAGTACAGATTATTTCTCTCAGACAAATGCACAGCGATATCCCTAAAACGAATAGACGAATAATTAATAGAAGAACACGTCGAAGGAAAATAGAAGGACACTCGCTTCTTGTCTATTGGTCCGTCTAGACATTCATGTTAACAGACAAACAATACTGGACCACGAGTATTGCTCACGCTCATGAAAGTTTTCATGAACGAGTACCAGATTTATAAAGCTATGAATGTGTCCGACAAAAATTCTATAACTAAAATATATATTGTTACAGAACCTATGGCTAACAAGGAGTGTGTATTAAATGGGGCGTATATATTGCATTTAGTTAATTTTGTATACAGGGAGTTTGAATGCTGAATAAAGTTAGGACATTCAAAGAAGATGTGATCAAGGTCACCTAGCCAACCGCAATGTTTGCAACTATCATCATCGATGACTTTTGTTTTAAATAAATGGTATGGGTAACATGCGTCCAAAGCGCAGTAGATTTATAATAGTAATATATTCTGTATCTGTATCTGTAGAGTAGGGAGGGCGAGTTAAGTTTCACAGCACTTAGGCCACAATTGACCCATTGTGCATCCTCCCAGTGAGCTGTCACCCTTAGCTCATTGTCCATCCTGCCATTTCTAGGAAGGTGGACAAGTCACCAGGAGACATCTCACTTATGTGGGCAGGTGTGGGCCAGGACTCGCCGAACGCGTACTCTCGTATTAACGATAACTCTGGGCATTCACATAGGACATGCTCTACAGTTTCGTCTTCTCGTTCACACTTCCTACATAGAGGTGTGTCTACTAGCCCAGTGTGTGGAGGTGTTTGCTTAGTTGACAATGACCAGTTAAAAAACCAACTGTCAAACGTAGATTTTTCCTGGTCATTCCAAGTACTTCTTTGATGTTGACTCTTCAAGGTTACTTAGTGTTACCCTGGCAAGTTTACATCCTTTCCCTTCTTCCCATCTTTTTACGGTTTGCGTATGAGAGTGACATTTGACAATTTCCGCGATTGTTGTAGTTGACCAACCAAAAAGATCCCCAGGTCCTAAGAGTCTTAGGCCTGCCGCCTTCCTAGCTAATTGGTCAGCAATGCGGTTGCCTTTATTCCTATTGTGTCCTTTAACCCACTTCAGGATGATGGTATTACCATCCGAAGCTTGAGTTAGTGACTCGTGACACTCCATTACTAACCTGATGTGACACGTGGTCTATTCAAGGTTAGTAGCGCTTGTCTGCTATCTGTGCAGATCATTATAGTTTTCCCTGCTATACCTTTTTTATGTTATCTCTTTTCCGGCTATGGAGAAACCAGTCACTTCTTTATTCTTAGGTTCAGTGATCTGGAGTATATCCCGCATCCTGTATCCTGCATCCTTGTAAGGTGTGTTAAAGACGAACTTTGGTTCAATTGAGTCGCAGCCTGCCTGTAGTACTGGTAACGCATTCAGCTCTCCCCGCCAGAAACGAGTTCTCAATTGTCCCATTCCTACATCAAGGTTTGCATCAGCTGAGCGCAGTCGCATCATTGTCACTAGAGCCACCTCTTTGACATATATATCTAGAGGCGTGATGCCAATGATCAACTCCATTGCAGCAGTTGTGTTGTTTTCATGGCACCTGTTATATTTATGCAAGCCATCCGCTGAATATGGTTTAGTTTGTTAATCGCTGTTGCCTGTAGCACTTTTGGTACCCAAGCATAGCTCCGTAAGTTAGCATTGGCCTAATGACAGCCGTGTAGACCCAGGCGATCACCCTGGCGTGAGGCCCCAGGTGCGTCCAACCGTTTGTCGAAACTGTACATAGGCAATATATATGCTCTTTTAGCTCTACCATCTAGGTGTGAGTTCCATGTTAACTTCCTGTCAAGGGTAATACCAAGGTACTTCACCTCGTCAGAAAAATTTAGACTGTAGTTTAGAATCCTTGGGGTATTAAGCCCGTGATTCTTCTTTTCCTGGTAAAGAGGACCATCTCTGTTTTCTTAGGATTTATAGATAGTGAGTGTTCCTTGCACCATGTTTCTATTAGTCGAAGAGCAACTTGTGATCTCTCACATAGTGTGTTCTCAAACTTACCGCTTTGCAGGACAGCAATATCGTCTGCATAGGCTATTGTGTAGAAACCGTTGCTGTTGAGTTGGTCAACCAGGGTGTCTAGAACTATGTTCCATAGTAGTGGTGATAGCACCCTCCCTGTGGACATCCCCTCGTAACCATGCCTCTAACAGAAACGTCTTCTACATTTATGCTTATTGCTCTATTAGAGAGCATACTGAATATCCATTCGCTTATGGCCAGGGGAATATTCCTGACGTTGAGCTGTTGGGTGATAGTTGGGAATGTGGTTTTATCAAACGCTCCCTCAATGTCTATGAATATACCTAGGGTGGATTCTTTATTATCCAGCGATCTTTCAATTCTTCCCACTACATGATGCAGTGCAGAATCGGTAGATCTTCCCGAAGTATATGCATGCTGATTTGGGTGAAGTGGGTTATGAACCAGAACTTCATCCCTTATGTACCTCTCGCATAGCCTTTCCATCGTTTTCAACAGAAAGGATGTTAGGCTAATTGGTCGGAAAGCCTTTGGTAGGGTGTAGTCCATCCTACCTGGTTTTGGTATGAAGACCACACGTACCTCTCTCCACTTCCTAGGAATTAATCCCAGAACCAAAGAGGCTCTGAATATTTCGATTTATAATAGGAATATATTTACGAGGAGCTTCGAAATTATGAAACCAGGTTGTTTGAGGTATAATTGGTTGTAAAGAGGTATACCTTTTATGGTTTGTAGAACAGTAATGTTTCCATTGCTCTTTCCATCTAAATTGCTGATTTTTTTTTAAATCGTCGTAATATCTGATGTATTAAGCATAAAATATATCAACGTAGAGTCAGTTGTAACACTTATTTTAGCTAAATGATCTACATATTCATTATGTTTGAGACCAATATGTGCTTTGACCCAAATAAATTTTATGTTGACTCCAGTCGATGATAAATGATACAATCAATCTTTTATTTCAAATATATAGGGGTTGCTAAATGTTGAGGGCAATTCAATGTTTTTTATGCTCTGCAAAACTGAAAGGCAATCTGACAGAATTAAAATATGTCTATTGCAGGTGTTTTTAACATATTTTAGAGCTTCAAGTATAGCTTTTGATTCCGCTGAGAAGATTGAAAATTCATTTGATAGTTTATACTTGAATTCTACGTTTGTAGCAGGTAAAAGTATGCGCATCCAGTCCCTTCTATTGTTTTTGATACGTCCGTATATATAACTGTGGTTTTCCTGTAACCCTGCAGTAGAGATCTTAGAAGATTGCTACTCATAATGGTGTTCTCACTATAAGTGGGTATTATAACCTCAGTTCTGTGGAATAAAGAGAAGTAGTCTAAGCTTCTGTCAACCGTGTGCAATTTCTTGAAAAAAATAGGATTATTCTGTAATGCCATGCATAAAGGCGGGGAAGGTTTTTTCTCCCATAAATTTGTTTGTAAGATCTGCCTCGTTAAGTTGACGGACGCTTGAACATAACTGGGAGTTAGTTAATAGAATTTTAAGAAGGCTTTTTTCACTTAAAAAGTTTCTTCTATTTTCAAGGGATAGCTCAGCAGCTTCAACATATAAGGGTTGTATAGGGGTTGATCTCATAGCAAAATTTAACTTGTCACTATGTCAGTAATAATATAGTATGTTGTAATAATGTTTTATACTAAAACAATAAACCACGACTTTCACCATTCTTAAAAGTTGTACTGGCATATGTACTGCAATATATTTTACCATTGCTTTTGTAAGGACTCTTCTACATTTTGAGTATAACAGTGGTTCCCAAAGAGTTAATTCTCAAATCGCGTTAAAGAACTCAGGGAGCCAAGTTAAAGAGCCGAGAGAGTCGCGTTAACAAGCTGTGGAAGTCTAGAAATGATTTTAAAAAAAAATATATATTTTTTTTTAACAATTAAAATGAGTGCTCCACTAGGTTTATCGGTAAGTATTCCTTTTTATACCACTACTGGTAATGATTAACCTATAAATACTCAATAGCAGCAACAGCAAATTCAACCAGAATGCCCAAATGTCCTTTTTCCTCAAAATTTATAATCAAATTCGGCACAAATTTTAAACAACTCACCAACAACAATATATTATGTTTTTAACCAAGTACTATCATAATCTTGGAACCATCAGAAGACGGCAAACGATTCATACCAGGGATAATCCTGATACTCTTCCGGTATAATACCGGATACTCTTCCGGTATAATAATTTTACGACAAAGTTTCATTAAGTCTGGTTTCTTCAGGCTTATGGAAAGTGGTTGATGGTAAGTTTTTTTGATATCTGTAATTGTATTTGGGCGACCTCGCTTACAAACATTAAGAGTCATGCAGGGTCCAATATGACTCTAACGGAATTTAATTAGACCTGGATATTGTTTTTCATAATGGGAACACTTTATTTAAAGCCCTTTTAACGTAGTACAATCAGTATCTTTAAGGCGATTTTTATTCATTCGTGTATTAAGGTCTTTAAGGTCAATTATATCTGAGAATCTTAATTGATTAACATGATACGGATTAGCCTGTTTATTAATTCTGCTGGATCTAGCCTTTCTCATTATGTTCATCCATTCCATGACAGAGTTAACTGGTAGATGCCTATTTTCTCTCTCAATTGCACTGTGCATACTGTGGACTTCCATTAAAGAATGGCCAGACTCCAAAAATGTTGGCTCATGAGTTGTAATTCGTAATATACATCATACAGTGACAATTAATATAATAAAAAGTGAAATAGAAAAATATGGGCATTTAGTACGCAATATT